GTTTTCCTCCCAGTCTTGTCTTTCACCAAACATTGTGAGCGGCCAAATCTTGCCAAAGCCATCAACAATGATGTATGTCCCGTCTCAAGCACGACGCCTGAGCTCCTGCAGCAATGCAATGCTGAACTGGGGCACATCATTCGAAAGGATTTCCCAGTCCTCGCACCCGTCCAATTCTTCCCAAACAATTGCGCTGTACCTCGCCAGCAGCTGTCTGAGGCTGTCGCCCGCGCCTGTATTCTCAAAGACATACCGGATGAGGTCCAGAACCGGCTTTCTGCTCTCGGGAAGTGTCGGGTAGAGGATGTATTCGCCCAGAGCGCGGTGCAATTTGCGAAACGCCAGATCTTCAAGGTCCTCGATTTCCTTGTTCATGCCCAAGACGTATACCTTGGCGTGGCAGAGCAGTACCTGGGTGTAGTCTGCGCCATAGTTTTGCTTCCCGAGTCCTTTGACCTTGGAGACGCCGCCAACGACATCGCGGTTCTCCAGAAAATCTCTTGTCAGTCTAAGTCGTCTCGGCAGGATCGGCCCTTCAACGCATGCAGAGCAATATGTGAGATCTCGCTGGCCGCATAGGTGGCATACCGACACGCACACGATTCCTTTTCTGCAGTTTGCGCATTCATTGATGCTGTCATCCCAGCCAATTTGTGCCATGCACACTCGGCAGGTTGGATTGGGTAAATTCAGGTCGTGGTTCCTCGAGAACAGCGACAAGGAGAATGCTCCCGCCGCGTACTTTAGGGGTTTCGGGTCATCACCAGGCTTTCCGGCTGCGGGAGGTTCGTATTTCCCCTCGTAAGCCCATTCGCAGAACTTTCGGAATGTCTCTTGGTCGACGTCTGGCCATTCAACAACGGCGAGGAACTTGTTGGGGCTCTCCACAAGAGCGCGCAGCGATGGACAGAGTTGCGCGAGAAGACCACTGTGTAGCATGTGTGGCTCTTTGTTGGGACCAATCAAAAACGTGAGGCCACGAGATGTGGTGATCCTGGAAAGTGATGATGGTCAGCGGCAGCCAAAGAGGGAGGAGCTCAAGTCGATATTTACTTCACGAAATCAAGTTCAGGTCTCATTCTGGCTGACTGACGGGAGAAGCGTCTAAACAGGATCTGTGGTCCTGAAGTTCTAGTTCCAAGTTAGCTTAGTCTCACGATGCATCAGAAAAGTTCGGAGCCGATTGGACTCACCTGGCTCTAACTTGAAGTGCCGTGGCTTTCGGGCCGGGGAAAATGGTAGTCGTGGTCGAGCAGCCAAGTTACAGGAGATATGGAGGGTGTTAGGTCAAATAAGTGAACCGCAGTGCCTCAGCGAAGCCTCTCAGAGCTTCGGGTAAGATGGGAGAGGTGCCGAGTTGTGGTTGTTGGCGGCGGCAGAAGCTTCAATCTCAAGTCTGGCTTTTGGGGAGAAACAAGCTATTTGCCGCAGGCAGGCGTCTCGAGAACTTTGAGAAACGAGAGGAGCAGTGGGAGGACAAGGAATCTGGCGGGACCTCAAGGAGTAGTCGGACCAACTCGGAAGAGACGCCCCGCAGCTACCTCGCAATCTGGCAATAAAGTGATGAGAAGTACAAAGGTTTTTGGGGGCGCAAAAGCATGGAGGGATGAGAGGAAAAGAAAATGTACTTACCTAAGGTCAAGTAGGTAGGTAGGTAGACGGGATTGTCTGGCTGCCAGAGAGGGTTGGTGCTTTTGAGAGTGAAATGGAAGGAGCGTTCCACTTCTCGGTCGTGGTCAGCTGATAATAGAGATGACGAATTCTCTCCAAGCTTTTGGCTTAAATTGATCGCAGTATCAAACAAAAGTCTTTATGACCCCTCAACCTTTCCCTTGCGCCTTACCCTGAATTTCCGCGCATGTGCAGGATGAACCGCCAGAAAGTAATCCTCATAAACAAAATCTTCTTCGGAGACGTCTGGTGCTTCCAAATCCCCAAACCGCCGAAACAGCTGCGCGATGGTTACGTACAGCTCCAGCATGGCGAGGGACTGTCCGATACACGCGCGGCGGCCTCGCGAGAAGGTAACCAGGAAGCTGTCTCGGTGTCTGGCCTCGGCGGGATCCAGCCACCGTTCCGGGTCAAAGACATCGGGATTCGGGAACATCGCAGGATCTCTGTGCATCCCCCACGAAGACATGCTCACTACGCTACCCCGGGGCAAGAACTGTGCCAGGTCTTTGTCAATACTTCCCCAGAGCGTATTTTTCAAGCAGCAAAATGCATGAATAAGCACAACAGGGACAGAAATACTCACATGGCCGTCGAACGTCGCCCCCGGCGCTGGAACCACCCTGGGAAGGGGATAAATCACGCCATAACTCAACCGCATTCCCTCCTTGACAACCCCCGTCAGATACGGCAACTTCTCCAACGCCAAATAATCCATCCTCTCCCCCTCCGGAAACGCCCTCACCAACTCCTCCCTCAGCTTCCGATGCACCTCCCCATCGCTCAACACCCGCCACGCAATCACCGACAGCGTATTCCCCGTTGTCTCCACCGCCGCCCCGGTGATCCCCCACGCCTCATCCACCACCTGCTGCATCGGCGGCACCTTATAATCCCCCTCGCCCGCCTGCGGGTTCAAAATCGTATGAAAAATCGTCTCCCGTTCCGGAACCACCCCGCCCTCAATCTCCTTGACGATCCTCTCCACCTGCCGATGCGCCTCTATCATCAACGTCTGCAAACCCGTCACAAGCGGGTTAATCCTCCGCGCCAACCAGTGCGGCATCCCCTGCAGCGGCCTCTTCAGAAACGGCAGCAGCTTCAGCACGTACATCATGGGCGCGATCTGCGTGATCAGCTCGTTGTACCACTTGCCAAAGTCCTCGGCGTCAAGCGAGTTGTAGCACGCCTCGACGCCGTAGCAGTACGCCGTGGCGACGTCGACGGACAGCGCGCGGAAGCCCATGCCGATGTCGGTGAGGAGGCCGCGTGCTGAGTCCCGCTCGATGCGGTCGCATAGCTTGGTGGCTTTCTCCTGGACGAGGTCTTCCTGGTCGAGCGCGGCGCGGCGGGAGAAGAAGGGGTTGATCACCGCGCGCTGCTTGCGGTGGGCGTTGTTGGGGATGATGGTGAAGACGCTGCCGGTGCCGGTGAGGGGGTAGAAGGAGGGGTCCTTGTAGTACTTTGTGTGGGCTGAGTAGAGGGTGTCGTAGTGGGAGGGGTCGTAGAGGAGGACCTCGTTGGGAGCGATGCGCACGACGGGGCCGTATGTGGCGCGGAGGGCGTCGAATTGCGTGTAGAGGGAGCCGCGGCGGATGAAGTTGTGGTGGAAGCGGTAGAGCTCCGAGATGGAGGCGAGGAAGGGGCCGGGGATTGAGGCGAGGGGGTGGAAGAAGCGGTTGTAGATGGCGGCGGTGAGGAAGTATGTGACGAGGAGTAGGAAGAGGGAGGACAGGAGGGTAGGGAGGTTCGGCATTGGGGGTATGGAGTCCATCGTGGAGGTCGTGTCGTTGTCAATGGCTTCGAAGGATTATTGGCTCATGGGCGGCATGGCCGGAAGTTGAACGGCGTCAGGGAGGGAAATGAAGTGGGAGCACGACATGCTGCGACAAGGACTATATACCCGGATATCCATCCACCACGAAGTCGGTGAGTCCCATGTATGTCTCTCCATATCTCATGCTACTTAATTGTTTCATGCAACAGCCCTACATTTTGTATTTGGGGCAAATTTCCGCATTCGACCTCTTTGGCCGCATGTGTGGTGCTGACACAATTTTTAGTCGGGACCATTACATCGAATGGTACCCCAAAAACGGGTTGTCTGGCAATGATATGCGCCAAGGTGCACTGCTAGGTTGGAGCCGAGCATTCGGTTACGGGTTGGCTGATAGGGGGTATGCATGGAGCTCCGGACGAATCGCAGCTTTGAAGTCGTACTGGGATTTTGAATGTGCCACCTGCGCCGGTCCATCATGATATCAGCATCTATCATGCACAAAAAAATACGCCTTTGTTTCGCAGGTACGATGGGACGAGATCATCAATAGGGGACACTACAAGGCAACGAAACGGTTTGAATGCCTTTGTTTCAGAAAATCGGCTTTGTCTCTCCTCGGAGCTTCGTAAACCCGTCGACGGCCCCTGAACCGAGCAATACCGATTCATCCTGCAACATTTCGACACATATCGCAATCACTCCTTTCCGGACTCTCACACCTGCATCACGGTTCACAAAGAGCGTGTTGCAATCTTGACATGGCCGAAGAACTGCCTAGCGAGACCGTTTCTCTGGAATTGTGGCTTGCAGATGCAGGTTCTACGGCCCGCCGAAGCCGACGGTCTTCAAGACCGAAATGGAGGGTCCGAAAAGGGGTGTAGAGCCTCACTAGTATCGGCTGCACGACAGTATCACATGTCGCAAATCACAACAACGAATCGCTGTGGCCCTTTTTCAGACTACAGTGATGGAACTCATCGAGAACTGGCTGCCTGGTTCTCCTTGCTGTCCCTGTTGAGGCTCGAAAGCACAACCCGAAAATGCATGAAGGTCCAACCCTCCTTTCATCCTCTCCCTTGTCTTCCCGTGTCCTCTCATTCGAGTAACCCGCCGCACCCTCTTCTGCCCCTTTTCCCATCTCCTGGCCCATCCTCGCCAGGATCATCCCTCTAGCTTCACTACCACGCTACAATGCTTGCTTGAAACCCGGACAAGTACGTTTCTCCATTTCCATTCTCAAACAAGGCATACACTATACTGACATGCAGTATCCATCCCAGGTATGACCTGTGTTGGGACAGGAAAGGCTGAATGGCAGTCTGCGCATGATGAAGAAAATCCCGCTGCTATATCTTTGAGCAGCCATCAAAGACCCATCCCCCTCTTTTTGTCCCCCAGCCTCCGGCCTCCACGGAGGCCCACTAGCCCCGTGCGTGTAAACTGTCAAATTATGTCTTGTAAAACACCACAACTCATCTGAACCTTCGCCGCCTCGTCACCAGACCCTCATAATTCACAAAACGGCAATCACTTTCAAATAAAAGCCAAAGGGCGGGTAGCGTAGTGGTCGGCGCGTTCACTTAACCCGCATCAGCGTTAGTTTGTCATGCTGAGCGTTCTTCAGCGAGAAGTCCTGGGTCCAAATCCCAGCGCGCCCAAGCTCCTATTTCTACCTCCCCTGGGCACCACAGCAGACATGACGACCAGCATCCTGCCATCCTACGTTTTGTTTTTGTTTTGCAACTTGCTCACTCAGAGCAAGTGCCCTTGCGCGGACGGATTGGGATATATGTAATGTGTTCTTTTAGCCGCGAGGCGGCCAAGAATGATAAAACTCCACGCCATCTACCTGCCTCCTAACTAATACAGGCTGTGAACTTGGGGTGCCGTAAACGCCCCGTGTGTGCCCTATCCCGTTCTTGATCCCATTCCGTCCCAGTCTAATGATGCAAGAGAGCAAATGTACCGCCAGTCCAGCTCCTGCAGGTGCCTTATCCGCCAAAACACCAACTAAAAAGAATACTCGCAAGAATTAAAACGCTAAATGTGAAAGCAAAGCCGCATCGTCCAGGATCCAGATTGTTCAAGATTGCCTTCTTTGTCGGTCTAGAATCGGAAGCTGGGGGCGTAGGTACGTAGATGGCGATTATGGTAGACAGGTCTTCGGGTGAAATGTCCCATGATACCCAGTGGGGGTATTTCAAGCCGAATCTTTCGTATCTAGGCAATGTAACTGCTTGTTCGATAAGAATGAAAATTTTGGTGGACGTAGTAGCTGGGGGTATCGTGTGGTAAGTCGCGAAAGCCAGTGCATAAAATACAAGAGGGCAGAAGTGAAGGAAGAGCTGGATTCGTGTTGGCTGACCTCAGACACTGTGATCATCTCCATTGGAGAGTACCGATAAGAGAAAAGGAATGATAAAGAATGAATGTTGGTCGGTGGATGTAGTAAAGGAAATGCCGTCGGCTGTGGGTTGATGTGTTGACATAAGGAAAGGACAAATGAGTGTGTGTGTGTCTCGAGGTCAGCCAGCAATCGTCCCGCAATTCTTCCACCGCTACTCAAGAAGCATCAGCCTTGTCTTGGTTCGACAGCATGCTCAGTCGCTTCGTATCAACTGACGAGCGGGGGCTGATGGACAGCAGACGAGCAGAACCGGCGCTGATATGTCGAACATGCTCCTTTCCGAGGTTGATGCTCGTCGCGCGTTGAAGGCCGGTGGTTTCGTCGTCCTCATCCTCGCCATCGCCATTGTCGTTATTATTGGTACCGGATACGACGGCGTCGATCTCCCCTTCCTCGCCAAATGACTTCAACAGAACCTCCCGACTCTTGACTCGGCCAGCCATGTGAGAGTGAACAACATGCGGCTGGTGGCCTCGGACAGAACCCCAGTGTGTCTCCTCTTCGCCATCGCTGGACGGTCGAGGGTCACCGGTGGACTTTCTGTTCCATCCGGGGCGCTCAGCAGGTGAGCTGGTAAAGCGGGCCAAGTAGTCGTCTTCGGCAATGGACATCTCTTCGTTTGTGTTGTTGTCTGCATCTTGGGTGTGCTCCGCATCCGATTCGGACGCTCCCCGTGGTCGCTGACCGTACGGGGTGGCCCGCAAGCTCCCTGACGGCTGTCGCCTCTTGGACATCTTGCCAGAGAGCCAGGAGCCCTCCGAATCGATGGACGCAAGTGACATGGTCTGGATCTCTGGCGATACGCTCGGTTCGTCTGGGTGGCCAAAGGTGGAGGGAGTCTGGCGCATCGCCTCCATCGAGCGGTGCTCTGAAGTCGGGGTGTCGTATCTGTCAGCCTGGCGTGGGGGCGCGAGGATGACATGTTCCATGACGGCGTCCGCGTGGGTGGAAGGTTGTGCGACACCGGGAACTGCCGAATCGACCTCAGGTGATTGTATTCGGGAGTCTGGAGGCGAGAGCGGTAGCTCCGGAAGGTCCTCACGGAACCGGGACATTGTCCGTTTCGGTACACCCGAGCTGAGCCGCCGCGGGACAAAGTTCGCTGGTGGCGTCGGTGCTTGCGGTACCGGCTGCATAGAGTCTCGTGACGTGTTGGAGAAAGAGGACGGTCCAGCAGACCGATGTTTGCGTTTGTTGCCCCATCTGAAAAACGTCGCCCAGGAAAGCGGTGCTCTTGAGGGTGCGTTTTCAGATCCTTTCTGCGGTAGGTCTGAGTGTTCTGTTTTGATGTCTGACCCCTGTGGAGTGCTCGACCGGGATAATTTTAGGCGAATGAATGAAGTTCTGGATCTCGGACTGGTCAAGGGCTGGGCTGGTTGCCTTTTAGGTTGCACCGGCTGCGATGGCAGCTCAGGGCTTTGAAGCGGGATGCTGTTAGTGCGGTGAAACGCCGCCAATGGGTGCGGCCTGGACTCGTCCCCTGGCGCAGCGCTGAGGTCGCTCTCTGGTTCCTTGCCCTTCTCCTTCAGAGACTCGTCAGACTGCCGTATCCTAGAAGATGTGACGACCGCCGATGTGGGATCAGTGCCCAGGCCCAACACTTCTCTACCAAGGACACCTCTCTCCAGATTCGCAGGAGAATCTCGACCCTCCTTCTTCGCTTCGGCTTCGGCAGCCTTTTGCTTCTCTGCTCGCCGTGCCAGTCTCTGCTCGAGTCGCTCTTGGTCCCGTTGGCGTTTTCTCTCACGTCTGCGTTGGTCCCGTTCCATCAGCTCTCGCAAATCGCTGGCGCTGAGCTCGTCGGCGAGATCGTGAATTCGTTTGTGTGCTTTGAGAGTCGCTTCCGGTATTGGCACCGAGAGCTTTCTCTGTTGTCGAGACGATGCCCTGGCCAACCTTGCGCCGGAATCACCGCTTTCTACCCCTGGCCTCGGGTGAGTGGCATAGCGCAGGGTAGGTCTCGGGGCGAGTGCTTCAAGGGCGGACACCTTGAAGGATAGATACTCTGAATCAGATGAGTGAACGGAGTGGATGGATTCGGCAGGTAAAGATATGTCCGAGGATCGATTGTACTTGTCCCATTCCTGCCTGGACGACCCCTTGAAGCCAAGACCAAAGCTGGTCCTGACTCTCCTGCCGTCCACCCCAGCAGGATGGCCGCTCGCCCAATCGTCTGTTGCGCGGCGAAGAGGCACAAAGTTGCTCATCGCCTTGATCTCGGCCTCACGCTGGTGGTCATTTTTTCGTCGTTTCTTGCTAGACTTCTTTCGAGGGAGGTCGTCACCGTCGCGCTTATTGTGGAGGGTGGGCACTCGCCGCAAGTCGTCGTCTCTCATCATGCCCATCTCCTTGTCCGCGCCCCTGTCCTGTCGGGTTCTTCTCCATCCGCCAGACGGATCCACGGCGCTTGTGTTTGGTGCGCGGCCGTGCGATTGTCTCTGCGCTCGCACGCTCGTCCGCCGGTGAGGCCCGATCGAGTCGCGACGTCCGGGCGAGAAACTGTAAGTCCGCTGCCGGCGCTGTAGTTTGTTGGGCTCTGGTCGTGGCTTGCTGATGCTCTGCTCAGGCTCCGATAATGGCAGAGGAACAGTGAGGTCTTGCAGAGTCTGGCTTCGGGGAGGGAGGGAGGGTTCGGCCGCGCGGCCTCTGGCTTCCTCGAAGTCTGTTGTACTCGCCCGAACCCGCTTCCTGCGGCTCTTTCGCCGGAACGGCCACATGGCCATGGAGAGCCGATGCCTCGCTCTGAGGGCAGGGTGTTTTGAGCTGTCGGAGAAAAGATTATAAAGGGTAGCTGACGGCCGCGTCGGCAGTTCGGCTGGTATTGCTTGTTCTGGGAGAGGCGCGAAGTCGATTCATCATGAACATGCTGGCGAAAGGGATATGGCGGAAGTAGGTTACGCGATGTGCTGGCGGGGCTCCAGTCTGATTGTGCGCGGTGGGGAGCACTTGTCAAGTCGGCGCGCGTCGCTCTAAGGCATGCTTCAGATGTTCCAGTGAGGATAATTCCTGAGCTGGCCGGCTCGTTTTTTCGAGGGTGGGGTGCGAAGAGAGGCGGAGTAAGTCGTTTGGGTTTTGGAAAAGCGGCGATTTTGACCCAAAGGGCTGCGTGCCACGGCCCTCAGATACGCTGATTCGCAGACGCTGTGCAACAAAAAGGCAGATTCGCTTGCTGCTTGGAATGGCGGCAGAAATCAGGCTGGGACAGGAGGTGAATCGAGGGACGACGTCGCGCAAGGGAATGCGACCAGACTGATCGACGGTCGCTTCCCTGTCGAGCCTGTGCTGCTTCGGCAAGGCGGGGTGAATGTCTGAGAGGGAGGTGGAGGGCCCAGCGGGTGGTGGGTCTGGGGGGATGCACTATGTATTTGACAGTCTCGGCGCTGATGCCGTAGGTCACATCGGCCCCCCAGGAGAAGAAAATAAGAAGTGCACCAAGGCAGGAGTAAGCAAGGTACGGGCTTCTAACCAAGGTGTCCGTGGTGTCCCAGGGAGACCGATGGATGCGCTACGTTGGGAACGTCTTGGACGCAGTGGGGAATGAGGGATTGCCCGCAGTAGGTACTGCGGCAGAGGCGTAGACTATCGAGGCGGGGAGACGGACGGGAGCTTCAGCAAAAGGTCGAAGAAACGGAGCGGCGACGGAGCTCAAGGGTTGCGACGGAGCTGTGAAGCTGCGACCCCGGCTTCGCTGGGTGGACCCGTGCTGGTTTCCCGCGTTTCCATCGCATCCCGTCCTGCCGAGCGACATCAGGCTGGCTCTCCATTTCTGACAGGAGGGTCCTCCGCCGCCTCCGTCACGACTTTTGATGATCATTCGCCTCCTCGACCGACTTTTGCGTCTTTCTTCACCACTTTTCCTCACGAGCTACTACCGAAGTAGCTCCCGCGAATTTCCGGTACCAGATTTCCCAAGCCGGGGTGGCAACAGCTGCCCCGCAGACCTGGTCCAAATTGCCCCAGAGAGGTCTGGACTTCTATCCCGCAACCTGGTAGGCTCTGACCCAACGACGGTGGAATTGCGCGGTGAGCGTGCCACCAGCCGGTGAGCGCTGAGAGGACGAAAATGAAATGACACAATAATACGAAGAGTACGCTATGGGTGGTCGTCGACGACACGCTTCTCCAGATGACGAGCGGAAATGGCAATGGTTCACAGGCGGTTTCTTGCAGGCCAGGTCTCCCTGTTTGCTTCCAGAAAGGTCGCAGTACGAAAGTAACACCACCCGCTCGGGCTGCCAGAGGCGCATTTCAAGCAGCGACATGCAAGGGTCAAGGGCAAACCCGTGCCAATTGGACAATGTACTATCGATTGATGCATCTCGTCGTTTATCGTTGTTGCAGGGCAGTCCTCCCTGCGTGCCGAGCGACTTGAGATGTTCGGATCGCAGCTCTGCTTGCTTGCGTTTGCCCCTCCAAAACGGTGGGGAAGACATGGAAGGAGCTCCGTTGGCAACACGCGGCCAGCCCGCCACACCACAAGAGGGGGGGTGCAGAAGCAAAAAAAAAAGACATGGCTGTTTCATCAAAGTCCCGAGACAGCACTTCAGCGCTGACGACACAGAGCAGACGTGCCTTATCGACGCGACGGCCGATTCGCCTGCGAGACAGGTTTCTGCGTGCTGCGCAGCGTCGAGCTCGACGTGCCTTTCTGCACATGCCCTGGGACTGCGAAGCACGCAAATCACGAAGCTGCCCTGATTGTGGGACCAGCGGCCACGGCTGAGATGCGCTTTAGCCACCAACGCACCGTGGGATGCAATGTTTCTGCACCCTTTTTTCGCTCGTATCCCCAGCGGGGCCCATCAACGAGAATAGCTTCGGTAAATCCAGCTTACCGTCTTGACCGGAGTTACAGCATTCCCATGATATTCCAACGCAAGATGAAGTTTCTTGACGCCATCGAGATAACGAGCAAGGTTTCCTCCCCCTCCCTCCCATTTTCACCCTGGTCAACAACCTGGCCAATTATGTCATAGGGTAGCGACCTCTGGGAGGCTCTCCGACCAGGGTCGTAGCGGATGGAGAGCCCTGACGACACGGATCTCGCCCGCCGCGTTGGCGTCACTGACGGTTCCCCCTGCCCTGGCCACTCCATCTTTGGTCACTGCATCGCGATTCGCGAACTGGCAGCGAAGAGTCGTCGCGCCCACTCATGGCCAGCCAAAGCGTCAAGAGGCTGCAGTTTGGCTGCAGCTAGTCCCGCGCTGCGCTGTCGGCACCAGGCGACCGTTTTTGAATCGTCTCTCCAGAAATAATGCAGGAAAAAGCAACGACAACCCACAATCGCAGGGCCAGTGAGCACTTCCCGTAACGCGCAGTGTTCAATTCTGTAACGCGCAGTGGATCACGGACCACCCAGGACCTTTTTGTCTGTGCGCACACACCTAACCCTCGAAGCTGCGAAGCGACGGGTTAGGGTTAGGGTTATCTTAGGATAAGGTTAGGGTCGGGGTTATGGCTAGAGGTTAGGGTTAGGGCTAGTAATTAGGGTGGTTGTATATAGATCTAACGCGTGCGATACAGAAATTTCGGTTTGCATTGTGATGCGAATTTATTTGGATTTGTTATCGCGATTTCGACGTTATTTTCAATCGGGTTTGTGCCTTTGTGGTGGGTGGTCCGTGATCCACTGCGCGTTACGGAATTGAACACTGCGCGTTACGGGAAGTGCCAGTGAGGCGCTGCGGGACAGGGGGAGGCTCGGCTCTTCCTTTGCAATGCCTGTCTGCCCGACACGTGTTATCGATCTTGCTCTTGCGACTTGCTGTCGCCCTGCGCAAGTGAAACGCTCAACGACGTGCTTTTGCGCCCCAGGCTGATTAAACTCGATCGGGTTCTGGGCTTGATGGGCGTCCAATACTAGCTCCGGACAACAGCAGAGTTGCACGAATACTTTCCCCGCAACTAAACAAAATTCGGGAATATTCACCGAAGCTGAGCGGTTCCGCGGAGAGTCGCGAACTGGTCGGGACGCAAGAGTTGAGGCCACGATTGGACAACAACGGTTCGTCGTTCTTCTCAATCTTGTCTCCCCAAACGGACCTCGCACCTTCGGGTGCCTCACAGCCAAAGACTCACTCAGTGATCGGGACTTTTCACCCGGTGCATCAGATTGGGACCTCGAGTGCGGGGGCCAATGGCAGTGCAGAACCCATCCCGGTCGCCGTTAGACTTGTTCTCGCAGATGAAGGTCGATGCGCCACGATTTCAGAGAGACGCTGTCACTTGACAAAAAACGACGGGTGATAGATCTCATCTCTGCTGAGCTGAGAATGGCTTGCGGGCGCCATCATGTTTCATACGTTCCCCCCTCCGTCGACGAATGGCTCTGTGATTCGCTACCACGCAGTCAGCGCATCCCATCAAGCTCCCGTGCTTAGCATGAGAGCTATGCCCCGGTGTTCGATAATCCACCAAGGCAATTTCAGCCGTCCCGTTCCCAAGACTGGTTGAAGTCGGGTATCTCGGGCAGCATTGTGTTCGCTTGACCGTGTCCTGCGGCCTGCCAGTCTTTCTGGTACCTGAGGGGGATGATGGCTGAGGAAGCGATTGACCGCAGAGGGGATCGAAGCAGATTACCGAACTGCCTGAATTACCGAGAGACATTGGCTGCTTCGCGCCTTCACTTCGAGGAGCGTACAGCCAGCAGCGCGCGCTGTGCGACCTCAGATGGTCAAGTCGGCGGGGTTTCAGGGGTCAATCCTGCCTCATCACCACAGAAACATTTCTAGCAACATACAGGAACGGTAGCCCTGCACAGACTCCACTGAACACGCTCATATTCAGGGTCCTACTCGGAGGGGTTCCTATGCTGTCAGCGCCATATAACAATAAGATGTGACGCCAGGGTCAGGGAAACATCATGATGCTGGATCCAGGGGTAGTCTCTCTGAACCCGGCAGACGGGTTGCCGCCATCACAGCGTTTGCGTTTACCAGACCACCGTTTTGTTGATTCCAAGCGGGCGACACTTTGCATGACATCTCTGCCACCTACGCCGATTTGATGCGGCAAAACAGGTACTTTGGCGATGCGGCCCTTCAGGAACAGCCCAGCAGCGCCTGCCGGCGTTGCCGCCAGGGCTCGCCATTGCTGCAGAGCAAGAAGACCGTCGATTATATGGCCTCCTCAGTCTGGCAGAGAGGACCGAGGTTACGAGATCTCCGGAGAGTCATTCTTCTTAGGACCTCCTCGTATTGCACATTAACTTTCGACTGCACGGTCTATCACAATCTAAGAACCAATACCGGCGGCCTAAGCCCATCTTTAGCCCCCAGCGCAAACTTTACCCGCAGCAAGTTCCCGCACGGGAAGATCAGTCTTCGGGTTTCGCTTCTATCCGCGCCCCTTTTTGCATGATTGAATTTATTTATGGAAAGAGCTTACACGCGTCCGGTTTCTTGGACCAACCACTCGGGCCGACGGGAGTAGCTTGAACTGGCTGTGATGGCCTCTGATTGTCGCACAACAACGCAGCTAAAGTGCCTCCGCAGCCGCTTTGCGCCTTAAGGAGACACGACCAAACGACCAACATTGCAGCTAAAGTAGCATCGCATCAGCATCTCTAAATACACTCCACCGGCTCGTCCAAACCTTCTGCGACGACCTCGCGGACCATACGCACGAGTCAGTAAACGTCGTATACGAGGAACCAACAACCACTTCGGACTCTCTCCCAGTGCCCGAACCAGCCTACAGGCCTTCTAATCCGCGCCGTCAACAAAGACTCTTTGGGCGTTTGGTCTAGTGGTATGATTTCTGTATTGCAATGACTTGCTGTTCTCTGCATTCTTACAGACGGCCCCGTGTTTAATCCACGGAACATGCAAACGCACATTCCCACACTCCCCAGCCTCTGAACACTCTCATGTCCTCAGTTGGAGAGTGGCCAGTTTGTGAGCTTGTCATTCGCACCTGCAAGCAAAGAGAATATCATCGCTCAAGACCCGGGTTCAATTCCCGGCGGGTTAGAGAGACGTAGTGATACGTGGGTAGTGGATGTGCCCCTTTTTTGGGCGTCGGTGATCTCCCCCTTTTTCGAGTGTTTGTTGATAACCCGTACCCTTGGGTTGGATCGTCATTCCAGTGAAACACAACCACGTGGCAAGCGGTGCTACAGGGAAGATGCAGCGAAGATCAGATTGACGAAGCGTTGGAATGGGGATACAAGGTACTTCAATTGCAGGTGTCCGGAGCTGTGGAAGATGCTGTGGTGGTTGAGCGCGTGTTGTGACAGAACACCATGCAGCTCTTGGGACGCAGCCAAAAGAAGGGCCTGGTGCCGGGATCGCCAAGGCGACAAGCACCACGAACGCGGCAAAGAAAGGTGAGATTGCAGGTATCGTGGTAATTGTTGCGTTTTGGGAGCCAGGTGGCCATGCGTCCTGATGGTAAAGCAGTCGCGGGTCGAGTCTAATCGTTTAGAATCAGGAAATCGATCTGTACATGTAGGTATTTGCTTGATATCCAGGCTTATGCGCTCTTATCAGTCAGCGCCTTCACCATCTCGCCCTTCATCCTTGTAATCGTGCCTGACCCGCCGTAGACGAGCCCCGTATAGACCATGGCAACGCTTGCGCCGGCGTTGAGGACTTTCAACGCCTGCTCGCCGGTTGTGATTCCTCCTGTGGCAAACACAACCTTTTGCGGGGCCTCCTGGACTTCACCCTCCGCGGAACGGAGGCTGTAGCTGTCCAACATCTTGCGGTATCTTCCCACCATCTTGAGTGTCTGGTCGAACAAGGCCGGGCCCGAGAACCCGCCTTCTTCCTTCAACGCCTGCTGTTCCCTGGCGTTTAGCCTCACCCCTTGTGGGACCAGGCCAGTTCTCCTCTTCGTTGTGTTCCCGACAATCACACCGTCAACACCACTCATCCATACAGCCTGCACGACACCCTCCATCTGGGAGTCATCATCCTCGTCTGGGGAGACCTTCACCATGACCTTTGGCTTCCGACTCCTGCTTGTCTTCTTCGCCTCCTCCACAACCGCGGTCAAGATCCTCGTCAATGGCTCCGTCGCCTGCAAGTCCCTAAGCCCAGGTGTGTTGGGGCTGCTCACATTGACTACTAGCACATCTGCATATGGCGCAAGACGATCTACGCAGCGCACGTAGTCCCTCTGCACCGCTTCCACATTCCGCTCGTTGGTCGCCTTATTCTTAGCCATTTGCACGAGCAGCAGCTTCCCTGGCTGCAAACTTCCCGGTGGCACGACGCTGGCGGCCTCCGTACCCTCCATTATATCCCGCTCCGTGATCCCAAGCTTGCGCGCAAACCTCCTCAGTCGGTCCCGGAGACGAGCCGCCATGGCATCGGCGCCTCGCGAGTTGAGTCCGTACCGGTTGATCAAGCCATCGACACTGGGGACACGAAATACGCGCGGTTTCGGGTTGCCTTCTTGCGGAAGAGGCGTGCAGCCGCCAACTTCGACGACGGAAGGACCAAGGGCGAACAGCGCATCGGGGATCTCGGCGTCCTTGTCGAGGCCGGCGGAGATACCGAGCGGATTGGCGAGGCGGGTACCGAAAACGGTCACGGCGAGAGGGCTAGTTGCGGGGTCTGCCGAAGCCCCGAGGGCGGACGGTCGCTCGCGTGGGTGGAGACCGAGGGGGTAGAGGGCCTTGAAGGCCGCGGTGCCGGCATGATGAGCGTCCTCGGCGTCGGGGAAGAGGACTCGGATCAGGCGCGGGATGGCCCATTGGTGGATGGATGCGCGAGTATCGGTAGCATAGTAGTATGCAACAAAAGCGGAGAGGCCCAGGGAGGCGCTGATGGCGATAGTCTTGAAGCTACCGCCAGCAGGGGAGGTCGAGGTTGAAGCAAATCGTCGTGGTACGGAATTGGCGCTGCCAAATGTCGACGGGCTTGCAAGAGGGCGAAAAGCCGTCCCAAGAGACTTTCGAGCTCGGAGATATGGGGCGGCCATGTTTGGCAGCGGTGCTGGGCCGAGCCAGCACTCAATGGCCCGAAACTGGCGACAGAAGGTGGGGTGGTGTTGGTGATGTCTGTATTGAAACTTGGAAATTTGGCGGCTTGTGCAACTGCATGGGTATTGACGGGAGACAACGGGTGGAGCACGGACCAGTTAGAGCCGCAGGTCGTTTTACTGTGACGGAGAGAACACAGTTGGAAGAACGCCTCTTCAACAACGTATTTACCGTAAGCTGACATGTCTGATTGTGTTTAGAAACACAAATCTGCACTTCATATCCATCCAAGCGTCCTTAACATTGAAATTCGGCTACCTTTCTTCTATCCGTAACAAGCTGTAGACTTTGTCGCCAACATTTGTCCAATCCCGAGATTGGGTCCGTGCCCAGACACTGGACCTGCATTTGGTGGAGGTTTCCGCAGCAACAACCCCACCACCAACTGTCATCGTCAACATTGTCGCAAACACGAAAACTGAAAACCGCATCACCACCAGAGGCAACCTTAAAGTCAGCGCCAACGCAAGAAACCAATCCAAACTCGACTGCAACCGACTCAGCGCGCACACGAAGTCTGGTCAAGATGGCCTACAACCCGAGGATGTCGATCCTGCCGCCGACGCAGTCGCAGTCGCGGACGCGGAAGAAGGAGGAAGAAGCAGCATACGCAAACATGCGCCTCCCCGATCGCGAAATCGTCGGCTGCATCAATGAGCTTGGAATCCCATTCACAATCGCCGACTTGCAAAAACCGAACCCTGTTCAAGTACAACAAATCTTTGAGTGGTTTGGCGAGCTGTTGATGGACAAGACGCGCGCGACCGTTGACCCCGCGATGCGCGCCGCCGCCGAGGACGTATGCGGGCCGGACCTTGGCGATGCCCTCATGCCTGCAGATACGCGAAACCTTATGGGATTCTTCGCCTCGTTGCGCCGGCTGATGCTTGACTGCGGCGTGACCGACTTCAACTTCATGGACCTCTCCAAGCCCACGCACGACCGGCTTGTCAAGATTTTCTCGTACATTATCAACTTCGTACGCTTTCGCGAAAGCCAGATGAGCGTCATCAGTGAACACTGCAACAGAGCCGACAACACCAAGCAGCGCATCGAACAGCTCTACATCGAGAACCAGAATATGGAGGCCCAGCTTGACGAGATGCACGCCAACCGGCGGGAGATGGAAGTCCGCGTGGCCGAGAAGACTAAACGGAATGAAGAGCTGAAGAAGCGCCTCCTGGAACTGCGGCGTAACCAGGAGAGGGTGGCGGCGCGACTGGAGGAGGCGAAAACGCGAAAGGGGGAGTTGGCGGCCGAGTTGGAGGAGAAAACAGCGACCAAACTGGCCCTGAAACAAGAAAGCGCCAAGCTGCGGCCTTACGTGCTACAGAGCCCGTCGGCACTGCAGGCAAGCCTAACAGAGCTGAGCAACACTCTGAACGGTGACAAGGCGCATATCGACTCGCTGGACAGGAGGGCACGAGCACTGCAGACGTCGAGCGACTCGTTCGCTGTAGTGTCGACTGACGTTGCTTCGTGCATCAAATTGCTGGACGAGATCTCGACTGAGCTTGCCAAGGAAGAGGAAGAAAATGCCAAGAACGCGAGGCAACGCGACGCACTTACGGAGCGCGGCGCGAACGTTCGAGAGGTGGAACGAACCGAAGCATTGTTGCAAAGGCAGCTGGCCAAGTGGACGGAGCGGACGGAAGCGCTGCGGGCGCATAGTGAAGAGAAAGCGCAGAAAGCGAAGGAGTCGTTGGAGGAGCTGCGAGCTGTTCACAAGAAGCTAACAGAGGAGCGGTCCGAGAAGGGCAAGGACATTGAGAGGAGGAGAGTTCGTATCGAGCAGACGGAGAAGAAGGTATGGTTTTTCCCTTCCCTGCCGAATTGCCGGAGTTCCTGACTAATCGCTTTATAGATGCTTGACTTGAAGGAGAACATCGAGAATGAGGTACACGCCGCTTACGATGAATACCTCAAGATGGAGTCTCACATCAAGCTGTACATCACCGAGATGGAGCAAGCCATATAGGCAGCCTCCGTCAACATGTTATTCTCTGTACTTAATGTCGAAACGATGGGCTGGATGATGGGTTGGTTATGGTTGAAGGACGGCTAAGATACCATGGGCTGGCGTTTGGCTACTTTATATGGGAAACGCCGGGTATGCGCACATGAACTGGAGAGGTGTGGGATGAATGTCATGAGTGTTGATTTTGTATACTTTGCGAGTCCCAATCTCCGTCCTGGAATCGGAACCAGCGCTTGAGGACACAACGCACATCGACAGTCCTGCCTGTCCACCCACTGCCTTCAAGGTCGGGCCCGGCTCTCCTTGCGCTCCCACTTAGAATTGGCATGCGTTCTCTCAACAGCACCTCCATCTGCGGCCCCCCATAAGTTCGCGGCTCGATGGCAACCGCCTGAAACCCAATTCGTCTCGCTGTCTCCACAAAGATGGCGGCAGTGTTGCTGATCCCCTGCACGCTCCACTCGCTCGTGCCGTGGTGCGAATCTAAGAGTCCGTAGATCAGAAGCAAGGGCTGTTTTGGCGCTGCATTGACGCCGTGTGCTGGGGACGGCGGGGCCGCGACCTTGGAGTCCGCCACGGAGAAGACCGTGAGATAGGTGCGCAGGTGGGACACTGTAGGAACGAAGACCACGCGGATGTGCCGTGCTACCGCCACCTGGTAGAGAGGTGCCGCCAGAAGTTGTGCCGCCCTGGCGTCTGCGGTGCTGGAAGGCCGTGGCGGTTGCCCCTCCTTGAGGCTAGCTTCGTGTCCGCCCTCATCAGCCGCCTCTTCGTATTCGGCGCCACGTGCTAGGTGAAGTGGATGCTCCTGGTACTTGATTTGACGGGAGACTGCGGAGAGAAACTCGACGCGGCTGGAACA